CTCACCTTCAGGTCTGGCAGGGCCGTCAGGGCCGAGCGCTGCTCCTCCCGCTCCTGCGCGACACCTCGGGACGGCTCCGTACGCACCGCGCCCCTCCCCCCCCAAATCTTCTCTGTTTTGGAGAAAAATGTTCTGAAGGACCTACAGCCTTTATAGCACCTTATCTCAAAAGTAATGGAAATGGGTATGATGATTACATGTGCAAATGTACAAAATCATTAACTCTACAAAGATAACATCATTCCAAAATTACAGAAAATCTTAAAGCATGCAGTTAATCGTCGTCGTCGTCGAAAGGGTTGCTGAGCGCTTCCCCTGAAAAAGGCGGCTGTTCTCGGAATCAGCAACTGCTGGTGAGGGTTTCTTGGCACGTCTGTGACCAGCGCGTTATTGCTGCATCTTCCTGATAATCTCGGCAGACACGGGGGGGTGGAAGTTGATTGTGTGGTGCCGCAGGCCCTGAGCTGTCTTGTAACTCTTCCCGCAGCGACACTTGAAGGGTTTGCGTACGCGGATTTGCGTTCTGTGGCCGTTCTTGGCGTGGTACTTGATGCCGTTTACGTTCTGTGGGGGAGAGAGTCGAGCGTTAGGGGTCAAGCGGCCCGATCGCGGCCCGGGTTTCTGGTTAAAGATCCATCAGCGCGGTGGCAGGAGCTCCCGCGCGGGGTGGTCACGCGCGGTGGGCCGATGAGGGGACGGAGAGCCTGGGTGGGTCTAATGCGCGAGGTCGGGCTGCCTGGATAGTCCCAACTGCCCCTGGCACTGCCCAAAAATAGACCATTCCATGGGCTCACACCCGGATGTTCATTGCTTCCCGACCCTTCTCGATCTTCCCGTGGCGTTGGCAAACATTAGGCAGGGGCTCGTTCACAGGCAGGCAGAGGCCGATGAGGGGACGGAGAGCCTGGGTGGGTCTAATGCGCGAGGTCGGGCTGCCTGGATAGTCCCAACTGCCCCTGGCACTGCCCAAAAATAGACCATTCCATGGGCTCACACCCGGATGTTCATTGCTTCCCGACCCTTCTCGATCTTCCCGTGGCGTTGGCAAACATTAGGCAGGGGCTCGTTCACAGGCAGGCAGAGAACACGCACAGGAAAGCCGAAGCCCCCCGTGGGGTTTATCGTTTCTCCAGATGGCTGCAGGCACCAGCAAACCCTGGGAGTTCACACGCTGCCTCCCAAGAATTAACGGTGGGCAACGCCCAACTGGGAGCTGCACAAGGCACTCGGAAAATGATCCAAGGAAGCCGCCTTCCAAATAGCTATTGTGTGGGAATACGCTGCAGCTAATCCGGGAGAGCTGATCTCCGCCGCTGCTTGGAGAGAGGACAGAACCAGCGCCGCGACCCGCCTCCCCCGCGCCGGCGCAGCCGGGAAACAGGCGGCGCCTCCGTGACGCGAACCAGGAGCCATCGTAACCCTAACTCCAAACCCTGCCCTGTCCTCCTCCTCCCAGCCTTCCGGCAAAAGCCCAAGAGGCTGTTGTGGTCTCACCAGCGTGTGAGACTGCTTTGGGGAGGGTCTGTCCTACTGGGGTCTCTCGTACCTGCTTCCGCTAGAAGAGCCTGGATTTTTGGATAAGGCAAAATGTCTTTTGCTGGAGCTGCCCCCAGGAGCCAGAAGGATGCCAAGACAGTTGGTGACAAGGTACAGCTCTGAGGCTCTGCCCTCCCCAGAGTTTCAAGTTATGTATCTTGGGGCTGTTTTAAAAACTCTCTTAAACAGCCCAAACCAATTAACAGCAAGGACATTAATTAACCCACTAAATTAAAAGTCTCGGGGCGTTTGTCTTTGCTGAACGTACCCAAAGTCCCCTCAGCTCTTTGTAAGCAGCAAGTTCCGTTCCACCAACGTGCAGCCCGTGGGGGCTCCAGCGTGGGACTCACCACAATGAGACGTCAGACGGTTCGTTTAAAAACACCACGGCAAAAGAAGCCTTCAGCGAAGAGCGCGGAGCTACGGCCCCGAACGCTTCAGAAGACTCTACACACGCCCAAGGCAGCGGGTTAACGTCTTCCATACCCCTCCCTCGCCAGCGCTTCCCTTTCTCTGCCCTGTCTCCTAATCCAGCTCCTTCCAAGCTGGAACCTCACGTGTCACGTCCTGCTCTGGCGAGGGACAGTCCCCAGCGTGCTGCCCTCCACCGCCCTGCTCCAGCCACAGGTCACAGCGGCAGGAAGGAGAGGCACGAGGAACTTCCAGCTCCCATCGGGACGGAAGGGAGGAGTGTCATGGAAGAGAAGCTGCCTGGTGCCTCACACAGCCACGGTGTTCCCCGGCGTAAAAGGGCCGTCACTCTTTACTGCATGTCAGCTGGGCAACTGCTCTGCCCCTCGATTCCTGCTTCTCTCCCCTAGAGCATCCAGGCACTGAATCCTCGGAGTTGCAAACTGCCATTGTCTGGGATGTGGAGTCGAGACTCCTCCGCCTCCAGCACAGCCCCGACAGGCGGACACGGGCCTGCAGTGCCCGTTACCTGGGTGAAGGGTGTGCGGAGGAGGCAGAGCGCTGTGCCACCGGACAAGCACATCAGAGCTACGGACCGCCCTCGCGAGTCGGCAAGCGAACGCCCTGCGAGCCAGCCCAGACCCTCTGGCAGCTTTCAGATGGTTTTGCTCACAGCTACAAGCTCAAGCGCCCGCAGGGCGAGGGGGCGTTGCTGGGTGGCATCAGAGCTGTCGGAAGGCACCTGTCAACACCTACGTAGCATTCAGGACCTGCTTACGGGAAAATCCGGGGGTGACGTGCTGCGCTTCCACGACCGCAGTGCAGTCGTAAACACTGCGCTCTCCCCGAACCTCCATCTACCCTGGAAACCACAGAAACCTTCTCAGACTTCTCATTTTGGTAAGGCATCGCTAGAAGGTGCTTTTAGACCACTTGCTGCAGGCGCTGAAAGCCTGCAACCAATATCCTCGCCATTCCACGCCAATGGTACTCCTCTCCCGATCCGGATTACTTCAACGATCCACCCAGCCTCAGGTACACCACGTGCTTCGAAGGGGCAAAAGTACTTCCAGGCAGAAAAAAAAAGAGGGAAACGCTAAGCCAGAAACCTGCGTGGAATGAACTGGGCGGTGGAAGGCCTGGAAGGTGGTAACCCCTGCAGCGCACAAGGAGCTGGTGTGACCGTGACCCGTGCTCCTGGCCGAAGGAGAGCGCTGTCGGAGTTACAGCCGACCCTGCGGCGCTTTCCCGGCTGCCGTAAGGCAAACGTGCCGCTGTCTGTCCAGGCCGTTTGCTGAGGCACGGCAAAGCCCCTGCCAGACTCCAACCACGCTTTACTGCCCTGGTTCTTTGGGCTGCTCAGCGTTCACCCTCACAGATGGCTGAGGAAGAAGGTGCAGTACAGAAGGGCGCTCCGAGACCGGGAGGAAACAATTATTAACCCGGGAGCAGATCAGGAGGAGACAGAGAAGTTTAGACTGGCACTACCCGGTTTGCACGGACACGAGGACACTTGCTGAGCTGGGCCCCTCGCAGGGCAGGACTTGGGAAGCCATGGCACGGCAGAGAGCTTGCCACCCCTTCCGAACAAGGATGTCTTGGGAGGGCTTTTTGTTTCCGATTGGTGCATCGTGTACATTTTTGCATCTCAAGGCTGTTCCTCCTCAAGTTTCCTTTGCGGGTCGTTCCCCTTTGCTCAATGTGCAAGCTCTGGCTCCTTTCTTTCTAGGATATTCCTTTCTTTCCTGTCTCTCACTTCAATACTCTCCCACTTTGAGCTCTGCCGAGTCTCACTGCTCTTAGATCAGCCTTCCCGAGGGTTTCCCCAAGGCCCGAGGAGCCTCGGCCCACCCCCTGCCAGACAGACGAGCCCGATGCCTTGGCGTTCTCTGAAGGTCCCGCTTCTCCAAGGCCAAAAAGCAGCCGCGCACAGAAGCCGCGTTTGGTGCACAGGGACACACGTTGGTCTGTTCTTACTCTATTGGCACAAGCCAGAATAATTGAAACGGATAACAAAGGGCTTGCTTTATAGTAGCGTATATGGATTATTTGGGGGGTGGGGAGGGTGTGTGTGTGTGGTGTGTGTGTGGATGCCCCATCCCTGGCTGTCTTCAAGGCCAGGCTGGATGAGGCTTTGAGCAACCTGGTCTCATGGAGGGTGTCCCTGCCCATGGCAGGGGGGTTGGAACTGGATGGTCTTTAAGGTCCCTTCCAACCCAAACCATTCTATGATTCTGTTACATATCAAACTTCATCTGCTCTTTGGAAGTTGCCTGAGTAAGTTTACCTACATCACACACACATTTTGAGTATCCTTCTCCAGAGCTAGAGACCAAATCACTGGCACACACAGGTGGGATTCAATAGAGGGAAAACCAAATGCCACCTTCCGAAATGCACACCTGAGTTCCTGCAGGTGGCATGTAGTGAAGCCTCAGGAAATCTGTGCCACACCACACCAAGTGCTGACACCTATCATAAGCAAGCAATTTTATGTCTTAAAAAGGCAGCTCCTGAAGAACACCTAGATGTTCCTGACTCACTCCTACTGCGCTGCCTATGGAAAATGGCCAACGGGCAGCAGCTGGGCCAGGGGCCAGGAGGGTCTTCTGATACTCATCTGGGCTGGTGCACAAACATGTTTGCACTACAGCTTCTGTTGTCCGCCCTAGCCTGTTCCTTGGGAGTATTTGCTGTACTCATTCTTGTCTTATTTACCTTTCCATAATGGCTTTTCAGTGCAGAAGGCCATCTTTTATCCTTGTGCATTGTTTGCAAAAAGGAGCCCCATCCCTACTGAGTCCTTTAAGCAGTGCTCTAACACAAATACCGCATCTAAAAATAACATTCCTGCCTCTCAAACGTACGTCACCTACGGCCAGACAAAAGAAAACTGTGTATATCCTCCTTTCCTCCTCGCTCCCCGAAGGAATGCATCCTTTCTCAGCCGTAAAGCGCGCCTGGCAATTACTGTGCGTGCGTGTCCGTGTTCCTGTTTGGAGCACTATAATTGTTTTACAGCCCTGACTGTGATTATCCAGTGCCCACCAGAAAATCCCAGGGCTTTGATCACAGGACTCCCTACCCAGACTCCACAAATAATTCATCAGAGGAGGGGGGTTAAGCAGAAGGGAGATGAAGGGGAAACAAGGCAACGCAGCTGACACAAAGCTAAAAGGAAGGAAACAAAGATAAAAATGAAAAAAGAAAAAATAAATAGGCTGAAAAGAAAAAAGGGAGGAAACAGGGGCCACAGAAAAGAGCAGCGAGGTGAGGCAGAGTTTAAGGAAACGTGTTTTCGTATCAGGACTGAACAGAGGTGAGGCTCTGAGAACTCAGCACTTTTTATTTGCTGCTGCTCTCTGTCTGTCAGCCTCTCCAGGGGTCGTTAATTCGTTCCCTGCCCGCCTGTTGTAACATGAAGGGTGTACATGCTGTCCGTCAGAGGGTCCCCATGCATCCGGGTAGCGAGAGAACAGCAGCAGGCACAACAGCTTGCTTGTCTGGGCAATAAAGGGAGGGGGCTGGCAGTCAAACAGAGCACAGACAGGATATAGCAAATTACAGGGTTCTCCTTCTAGCCCTTGCCATTAAGGGAGTGTTTTCTGCAATGCATAGATGCCCTGTGGGCACTCTGACTTCTAACAATCACCATGGCTTGTTTGCTTCCTGAGCTGGGGATTTAGCTTTTATACTACACCCTTCGTCTGGCCCAGCTTCTGCCACACATGAGAAAAGTATCGCTGTGAGCATCGGGGGCATATCTGTGAAGCAGTACTGGCAAACTTGCCCTCTGCTCCGAGCCTGCCTGGCATGCGGTCCTTCCCGTACTGAAGAGAGTAACTAATGCGTCATTAAAGCTCATCTCTGCAAAAACCAGACTTGCCTGTCACTAATAAAGGAGCACACTGCTTTCTTGCTCACAGTTGACTGGAGTACTGTCAGTATTAACTGATCTCGTCAGGAATCCCAGTCCCGTGAATTGCTGCTACAGGAGCCGACCCCGCCCAGAAGAGCTGCCCCATCACCGAGACTGTTTTATCTCAAATGTTATTGGTCCTCCTGTATTTCTCTCTCATACTCCTGTTCTCAAAATTTTAAGTCCCTGCTTTGCACTGATTCAAAGGAGAAGCCAAAAAACAAAACTAGTAAAAACCCAACCCAACCACCCTCGCTTTTTCGAGGCGACAGCGATAGGTCAGTGGTTGGATTTCCCAGTACTCAGTGCAAAAACTTTGAAAATTATTGAGGAACTATGCCAACGTGCTACTCCTGTTCCCAAATTCCGCCGACTACAGAGTACCGTGCTGTGCAGCCCAAGCTGTGCAGTACCATTTCATCCGTCCCTCCACCCACGTGTGTGAAGCAGTACTCACTCCTGTCCTCACAAAGTCCCGGCACATTCTATACCAGCCAGCTCAAGGTTCAGAGCTGAAGCTATTTCACTCCCATAAACAGACAGAAATGTGTCGTGATGGAGAGTAATTAAAAAGGGGCAGGGGGGATTGTTTCCCAGCATGTCACGCAGAGGGATGCAAGCCCTGCATGCGGGGCCAGACGGGCTGACAGCTGTGCAGAGGGGCGACGGGGACTCGGACCCAGGACAGAAGGATGCCAGAATTTCTCCAAGGCTCTGCCTTCTTGAGGCGACCTCCGACTTGGCAAACGTTAACCACCGCCACATCACCCTTACCAGGAAAAGCACCCCGGGCACGGTCTCGCTGAAGGAGAGGCAGCATCTCTAGCAGTTAAGCAGAAGTAATTAATTCTGGCACTGATGGGCAGAAGCTTTTAATTTAGTGACTCTGAAGGAGACCCGAGAGATTATTTTGCTGGTAGCACCTCCTGCATTCTGCAGTTAACTTGTCTAAATAATCGAAAGCTGGTTAAAACGTGTAAAGCCAAAGAGTCACTACATGTAATCTCTCTTTGCAGACAGGGATGCAGAAGGCTACATCCTTTGTAAAACTGGTATCTTGGCTGCGCTTGAGAGGAAACCAGTGAATAAAGCATGTACTTTGCTGAAATACCCCAAAAATAAATGTGAAAAGTCTGTTAAACGGGAAAGGTACAAATTGCTTTGAGAGGCCTTTTTTTCCTGCTCCACTACATCTGCAGGCAAGAAGGCAGGCCTGCACTACCACGTACCTTCTCTCCCTTTTACTGCTGCTTACCTTGTATCTCTTTTTACATCCAGGAACGGGACAGGCAAAAGGTTTCTCATCCCCTCCGTTCATGCACATGGAACTAAGGATAGCTTCAGAGCTGATAGCACTTTCTGTAGTCCAGGACTCATCACTGTCTGATTCTTCATAGTCCACTTCCTCCTCATCATACTCACTACCTAGAAAAGCAGGGCAGGGAGATAAAACAAGAATAAATAAGAGCACAGCAAGATAACACATTCTGCATTTATTACATCAGTTACAATGACTTGTAATTTCCCCACTTCTGTCCTTGCTGCAAGACAGTTATTTTTAATTTTATAAACCTATCTTTCTTATAGTTATTTATTCCTTCATAAAGCCACCACTGCTTCTTTTTCTAATAACCCAGACAGGCATTATTAATACATCTTCATAAACTGTTAACTGGGCGGCACAGAAAGTTCAAAGGCCTGATTTTAAAATGCAGTTTCATTCCTCCTCAAACACCAGGACCCTTCCTTCTTTCCCAGAGTCCCAACAGAAAATGTGGTTTCCCCCTACCCCCGCAATTAAAGCTGATTTTAAGGCTTTTCTTTATGCAATACAATACTGAAGAGCGTAATTCTACAGATCATAAAGAGTGTAAAATAATATGTTGACAAGTCCTAATGCATTTACTAGCCCTTTGGAATTAATAGGAATTATAGCACAACATTAATAAGAATTATATTGTAGCAATTACAGTTGTGAAATTCATTCCCTCAGGTGTGGGGATAAACTGCATTGTGTGGCTGCCCTGAACAGACCACAGCGTGTTCCAGATACGCTGCGACAGCCGTGCGAGCAGCTGGCGCGGGGTTTGTTGATGATTTTTAATCGCAGTGACTATTAATGAAGAAGTTAAATGTGAAACGAGAAATTAGGAAAGCAGAATTCCAACTATAAAAATAGGGTTTAAAAAAATAATTAAAAAAAAAAAGGGCAGGGGAGGGAAGAGCCCCGGCTGATTAAAAGGAAAATATATGCACAGAGGGAGAGAGGGAAAGCTGAGGGAGGCTTCTGTGGTGGCAGCAGGAGGTGGTGCTGTGTCTCCCCTCCCCTCTCTTCTTTCCCTTTCCCAGCTCTGCTAAATTTTATCCCTTCTGCTGAAAGCCAGTTTGGCTGCGAGTGCTGGAATCGCTCCCGTTATTAAAGACAATTATGTGACACTTGCACGGTTCTGCTGGCTTCCCTCACATGCCCTCTGAGCGCACGCCTCCGAGCAGGAGGAGACGCGGACAGATGCCACACAGCACTTCCAACGTCACCGGGAGAACCCATGCTGCACTGTACTACGGGGTCTCCGGGCTGGTTTGGTTTTTTGCGTACACCTATCCTCTCAAATGTTCCCCTTCGGATTCCCCCTCCCCCGGTACTCTTGCTCGCACTCGGCACCCCTCCCTCACCAAGTACGAACGCATGTCAACTGGTAGCTGCAAGGACTCTGGGCGCCGGAGCTTTAATCCGTTGCTGTAAGCTCACTTACAGATGTCAGGCCATCCACGTTTTTTTCCTGTGGTTTTCACCCGAACGGGGTGGTGCGCAGATGAGGGAAGATGGATGGTTTCCCACCGGCAACAACTGTCGACATGCGCGCACGCACACACGCTCTGCAGCACATCTGGAAAACTCTGCCCTGCTGCCTGCGACTCCCTGTCCCGCACCGAATGAGCCAAAGCCAAAGAAAGCATTATTGACCTCTTCAAATATTTCTGAACTCTAGGAACAGTTAACCTAAAATGAAGTTAAGAGTTGTTATAGTTTAATTAACTAGTAAAAAAAATGGAGGCAAAACCACAACTCTGCTTCTACGATTTCCTGCCCTTGATTGTATCTTGATGGAAAAAATTCCTCAAGCTGTTCATTGCAAGCTTTCTAGCTCAGTGGTTTTTTTTTTTAAGCAAACGCAACAGAAAACCCTATCGTAAATACACATATGCACTCACAGGATGAGAAAATACACCACAATTCCAAGCAGCAATACCAACAATTTCTGCCATTATAATCCCCCTCCCTGTAAGCCCCCCCTAAGAGGGGGTGATTTCCTCCCCAGTAGGATTTTGTCCTCCCAAAGAAAGCATCACTTGAGACTGGATGACACCTACCGAGGATATCACTACTTCTAGTGACAACAAGGAGCATACTCCCACACAGCAACGCTCGGTGCGCTACAGAAGGTACGATGCAACACGGTATAGAAGGGAAAAGATGCACAGGACCAGTGGGGAGAAGTGGCAATTATGCATTTCCATAGGTTTTCTTGTATTTTCAGGGCCATCCTTTTGATTTTTCCAACAACTCTGTACAGTAAGACCCAGTTCTGTGACATCTTTTGCCCGTGCTTCATGTACAGGTACACATGTTGAAGGAGAGGGAGCCAGAAGAAACCACAACGTGTCCGTAAGCACCCGTGAGGTCAGACCATCCTTAGGGTTTCCTTTTAATCAGCTAACCGGAATAAAAATGCAAGAAAGTTCATAAGCAAATGCTCCATTGTCTTAAGTATTTAAATCCAGACTTGTCACTATGGATTTTACCAGTGTAATGACCTTTTTCAAGTGTGAGTGACCATGTAAACATGTATTTCTTCTTGCACAAAGCACTAACACCAATAGTGGCAAGTCCCTGAAAGGCATATTACTTTATACAAAGCTGGAGCTGCAGTTTGTCACTGCTTTTATCTGAGTGTCCTAATAAACTCAATTGCTTGTACTCTCTTAAAAAAAAAAAAAAAAAAAAAAATTAACCCCCCCAATGTATTTAAGAGGCTCCTGGTATAAACAAAACACAAAAAACTTACTGTCTTGAAAAAAATTCACTAGCAATAAAAAGTTATCCTTTAAATGATTATGTTGTTTCAGTTGCCATAGAAAAACAACACTGATTTAGTCAGGCTTTTAACTGATTCCGCCTCAGAATTTAATTTCCTCCGTTGTCAGTGTCTGAGAGCAGCAACCCATGCGGTGCCTCACGGCTTGCATGCAACACATCAGAGCGGGGAGGGGGGGGAAGAGGGGAAACGACAGGCACAACACACAGGTTGGCGCTGCCACAATAAACAGCCCCTAGATGAGGTATTTTAATTAAGTACTGCAAGGCCGAGGCCGTTGGCTTCGCGAAGCCTTTCCCACGCCGAGCGGGAGTCCCTGGCCCTCAGCTACACGTCAGGTGTACAGGCTGGAACCGGAGCTGGCGGCTGCGTCAGGCGGCTTGCCAGGGGACCAGCAGTGGGCTGAAGGGAAGCGCACCGCAGCGCACTTTGATCGGCATAAACTCGGTTGGTGCTTCACGATAATAAATGTAAATATTTACTTTTTCAAAGGAAAAAGAAAAGGAAAAATTAAGCACCTTTGCAGCTAACCTATGGCCTGCTCCAGGGCGTAACAACTGCGTGACCTGGACAAGGATCCGCAGTACATCCTAAGAGAGCTCCGAGAGAGCTGGCTCGCTGATCTTTGCTTGGATGCTGCCATCCACATGGAAAACAGGACGCTGTGCTGGGGCACACTGCCCTCCCGGGGCACCGAGCACCCGTACTAACGGCCTTACTGTTTCTCATCATCCCGTACTCAAAGGAAAACTATCGGAATTAGGCTTCCCAAGTCTGAACAGCAAAAAGCTCCCCTCAAGGTCAACAACACGTATTTCTCTAGGATGAGGCGTCTAAGTATCTGGCGGGGAAAGGGTCCCAGGGAAGCATGTGCTTTCAGCAAGGCGATGTGCAGACACACAGTATTATTACCATAACTAAACGCTAGCTCTACAACAGCCAGCAAACTGCCTTTCCCATCCCTCTCCTCCGGCCAATGCCCTGTCTGGGGCTCCTTGCTAGCCAGCTCGTAGCTTTCTACCGTACCCAGCGTCATCATCTGGCTCTCATACAGAGACACTACACAGTTCTACCTCAGTCCAACCTAAACCCAACGATTTACCGTCCAAATGACTCAGTAACATCTTCCTAACACTGTCCCTGCCCTCACGTGCAGTATTCCCTCGCTCCCAGCCCACAAAGCCGTCTTCCCTCTCCTCATGCCAGCGGCCCTGCCAAAAGGCTCCCTTCATCTGTGCTGCCCCCAGCAGATGAAAACGTGAAACAAAACGAAGGCAAGGAAAGAATGCTAGTTTGTTGGGGTTTTTTTCCTGGATTTTTCCATGCTGAGGCAATGCCACTGCTCCTCGAAGGGGAGGTGGGCTGCAGGCGGGCACGGCCTTGAGGCGGACATCACCAGGCACCGCTGGCAGAACACATACAGGGTCACCAGTATTCCGGCTAGTTGTGTCTCTTTTAGTTTTTCTGCTGCCTTTAAACACAGCCCATCCCAAGTGAGCAGGCTGCCTGCATCCCAGCTGTTTATCTGCCAGAAGCAAACACAGGCACGAGAAGGGATTATGATCACTGCCTGCGTGCTCAGCAGCGTTTGCAGTGCGATGAAAAGCCGAGTTGCAGCAAAGACCTCGCCTCTTGAATGCCCATCTACTACTTTTTCTTCTTCCAGTAGATGAAGTCATAGTGCAGAAGTGTTTTACGGAGAGTTCATGGTTTGACATTCTGCAACAGACAACATCCCAGTCACACCGCTGAAAATCTGGAGCCTTATCTTTTATCTTTCCGGGGTTTCCAGTATTCACACCACTGTAGCCAAGACAAATTCTGCCTCTTGCATGAGCGAATTCATTCCACTGTGAGATTTACAGAGGGTTTTTTCCCTCAACTTTGAGTGACTCCTGGTTTGAGCAGGTGCATGACATTTGTAGTTATGTCACTTCTTAAATCTAAAGACTTGTATACTGTGCCTTGAAATATAAAGAAAGACAGAGCTTATGAAAACCAGCACAAGCTGTGTGCGCCACTACAACGTACACGATCTACCTTGACCTCTGATCAAGAACATTATGAGCTCTTCCTTTCTCCTCCCATGAAGAAAAACAAACCCAAAACCTCCTTGCCAATTATTTTTGTGACCAGAAAGCATGCATCTAAGCATACAATGAATAACTATGAGCAAATAGCTCACTGCAGTGGTAACCAACATTGCTCGTGTCACTGAAAGTTCATGGTAACTCCGATGATCGCTCATAAAAATTCAGCTTCACACTTTGTCCTGTGCAAGACTTGCAGTTTGCATTTCATAAAAACAGTTTTATGAGAGCACTTCTTACGTTGAGAGGTTTGCATTCCCATATACTGTGACCGCTTCCTTGATTTAAAAAAAGTGAATTATTAATATTATGCAATTTTTGGTCTAACACTGAAGCACATTTATGGACTTGTCAACCTTCCCTCTGCGTCCGTGGATGCACAGTCTCCACGTTCACCGGCAGGAGAACGTCCCCACAGATTATACTCATTCCTGATCTAAAGACATATCAAGTCATTGAAAATGAAATATTCTTCCTTTATATAAAGCACAGGAAATAAATGCTAGGGGCAACGAAATACAAAACAGTTCAGTAACATGGGTCATGGCTGCTGTGCAAATCTGTCGTCTGGAAGCTGTAGTAGGACCCTCAGCTGCGAGCCGGTATGGGAGGCACAAGGCAGTGGCTCTGCAAGCTTGGGCGACACATTTTAGACCCTGGATCATAAACAGACTAAGCCAGGCTTTTTCCTTTGCTTGCCTGTTTGGGGGCTGGGGGCAGAAGGGAACTCAGAGGACAGAAAGGGTTTTTCAGCCTTTGCAAAAGGTCTGTTAGAAAAATTTCTTGTATTTCAAAACTGCTTTAATCCTTCACGTCTGCGAAGATGACGTAAACACGCGTGTAATACAACTGCAGAAAAGTTCAAACGGCGCGCTGTGTAGCGCTGCAGACACCAGTACTTCAGGTTGCAAGTGCAGTTCCAGCGCTTGGAGTAAGTATCAAGCTTAAAGCAAGTGGTCAGCTCGCGACGGTGAAGGCTGGAGCCTTTCTTAAGCCAACAGGCACATGCAGTTGAACGTTTTCTCTCTTATCCCAGTGAGTACCCAGGAACGTCGTTCCTGGGAGAGGAGAGGCCAATCTGTTCTCAAAGCCAACTGCATGCTTGGCAGCTACGCTGTCGCTCGAGGGAGCTGCTTGGGATGGTTATGGTTTGTCAAACGGGCACTTGCCAAGTCTGGCAGAGACTCCGTCCCTCTGCACAATGACAAAAGAGCCATCAAAATAACCATTACAACTTATTACTGACTCGGCCTCGTGCCAAGGCCGGGGGCAGTGCAGGGTGTGTCCCGCCGGCCGCTGCCAGCCCCCACGCAGTGGATCCTGCGGGCTGTGTGGTCTGTGGCGGTGGGCGCTGGGCTGCTCTCGCACACGCTCGTGCCAGGAGCACGGCCCTCATCTTGTGCCTCAGCCGGTGCTGCTGCCAGCATCCTCCTCTTCCTCGCGACACTAGTCAGAGCAGGATTTGGCCAGAAAAATGTCTTCTGGAGAAAGCACCCTTCCTTCCAGTCCTCTCCTAGCTCAGATCAACTATCAAACACTAAATAACCAGCTGTTTAGGAACTGTTACTACTCAGAAGAACTAGTTTTCTATTTTCTCTGGCTGAAGCAAGGCTCCATTGGCAAATAAGCACCAAGAGAATTGCAAAACCGTACCTCATGTCACGATGTGAA